CACAGGCAGTATCTCTTTCATTGGCAACAAAATATCTGGTCACGAATTTGTTCTTCTAAAGTGCTTTACTGATAGAGATCAGAGTGGGGAAGATGAAATCAGAGAGAGAGAGAGAGAGAGAGAGAGAGGTAGTTCTCCATTGGTCCAGTTATAGTGGAAATGTGGGTTCTCTTGTGATTACTGAAAGCACTACAAAGTACTGATGTTGCATTTATGCTTCGTTGAATTTGCTGTGAACTTGATTTGAACTCTCTTTGCTAAATTTCAGGGTGGAGTTGTTTACTCCAATAAAGTGATAGTGATTGCATCCATGCAAACGAAGGCCCATCTCATCACTGAATTGGGTCATGGAATGGAACCCACCTTAGCCATCCACAAGTAAGTAATACCATCGAGGCATTCTTCGAACTTGGACCTTAAAATGTCGAAATAGGCATGGTGTTTGTAACTTTGTTGAACATCAGATGTGGTGATTCAATAAAATGTAATTTAGAATCTAAGCTTTGTACCCATCATTATTTATTTCATGGTCATGGTAATCTGATAACTAGTCCTCACATTTCCTTACTCCTGATTCTGATTGAAGGGACAAGCTGCTGATTGCTCCTTATGGATTTGACAAGTCAGTTTGGGATCCTTCAGTGGACAAATTTCTTCCAGAGAGTTACAGTGAAGAAGATATGAAAGGGAAATCTGTATGCAAAATTTCATTGCAGAAGCACCTTGGGTTAACAAAGAATGCTTCCATGATTCTTGTAAGTACATTGAAAATCTTATTCTTGAAGTGTCCCCAATAATAAAAGATAAGAGGGGGAATCTCGGGAGAGGGGGAATCTCAGGAGTAGGTGAACTGACCTTTCTTTCACCTGGGAGAATAGCCAGCGATAGAGTATGCTGAAGGATAAAGAGGAAAACAGAGTTTAATCTTTGCATTTTCATCCTTGACGACCTTTAGTTATGTGTAAAAGAGCATCTGTGAGGCCGACCTCCAGCAACCTTTCTGGAGAGTCAAGCACATTAAAAATGTCTTTCCTTTCGCATGTATTCTATGTACTTATCTGTGTTTCCACAAAATTTTTTGTATCCTGTACAGCATATGAAGTCTTACCAACCCAAAAATAGAAATGTTGTAATTCCAGGTTGGTTGCATGTTAACAGAAGTTTCAGATGTTTACCTGGAGAACCTCAAGACTCTTGTTTGGATGGCTTCCAGAAAGGGAATTCAGGTTGTTTCTGAACCTTTCTTTTTCTGTTTGTTTTTAACAGCTTATCCTAATGTACTTGCAGATAACCGCGCTGAATAACTAACTGATCAGCTTCTGAGCAGTCAAAGTCCTTTTATCTTCTTCTGTATTTATTTATTGCCTACGTCTGATTCTCTTATTATCCTCTTCAGTTTGTCTTCATGTTGTGTAGCCAAAATCCAGGCTTAAGAAGAGAAGTGGAATCTTTGCTGTTAGAACTCAAGGTATTTTGCACCTGTCTTTATCTAAATATTTCTGGTGTCTCTGGTTGCACTCTTTCTTTACTTTTTAGGGGAGAAATAGAAATTTTCCTGCTAAAAACACCTTCAAAATGATTTTAATGCTAACTATGGCTTAAGGTAGTTCATGGTGAATTATTGAAGAAAACTGCTAGCTATGGCTTAATGTCATGCCCCGTATTTCCATTTCCATTCTTGACTGTTTCATGTCTCCAATTGCTTAGCTGTGTTGTGTGCTGGCAGATGTCTACGTATGGATACAGGCAGCACCTTCTGTTATGATTGTCATGGTGGTGGTTGCATAGCAGTTTCATGATTTATTCTGTGAAGGTTGAAATGGTTTAGCTGAAGTTGATTAAGTGTTATGCTGTTATTGGAGATCAATTGTAATGATTGACTTGAAGCTTGAAAAGATTGCTTCTGTGTTTTTTATGGTTGAAGATCTTCAGCTAAAAGCTAGTTTCCTGGTCGTTAAAGAAGTTCATTGCTGCAAACTTGTGTTTTGATTTGGAGCGAATATGACTAATAGTTAGATCCAATAAAGGAGATCTGTAAATCATCTAGTATATGTTCTTCTATGCAGGATGGAAATGTGAAGTTTATTGATAAATATGACGAACCCCTACTGCATTTGATATTAGCTGGATGCGACATTATTTTGTGCCCATCTTTGGACGATCCAGTGCTTCAAGTACCGGTATGTGTACTACAATTTTGTTACTAAAATTGGTGAGCTTTACCTTTTTCTTTTATTAAATACTATTGCATAGAATTGCTTTTTATTTCGTCTTTGTTATCTCAACTGAAATAGACTTGTTTATTTTTCAAGCAGCTAAGGCTCTTTTTTTTGGTTTCTCCCGATAACCCTTCTTGACAAATTTTCTTAAATTAGCTTATTGTGCCTATATGGTCACCTTGTCTATCTCCCTGTGCATCTCTGGTTATACGTTCATGACAAAAGGGTATTTACAATGGTGAAGCTTTTTTCTGTGCTGGGGTAAATCATGCAGCTGAAGGCCATAAAATATGGAGCTGGACTTGTTGCATTAAATTTTACTGATGACAAATTTGGGTTAGTCTGAATACTCCTATATCTTTTGGCTCTTTAGCTTGTCAAACAGCTGAAAAATGTTTATGCAATTACTGGTTCAACAGGAATTTTGCGGATCATGATTTTGGGCGTCCGGAAGTTTCAAAGTACATCAGCAATTCCTTTGGAAATATGTCATTAAGCCAGGCAATCAATGAAATCGTGGGCATTCCCTCTAAACTTTTCCTGTTTCACAGCTTCAGAATTCTTCAAAAAGCTTTGAAAAAAAAAAAAAACCTTCAAAGATATTTAAGTTTCTTATTTTCCTGTTTGCAGGAGGAGGATCCATCTCAGTGGAACAGAAAGATCACAGATGCCATGGCAAAGGATTTCTCGTGGGATGCAGAGTGTTGTGATATTCATGTTTCGGCATATGCAGCAATAAAGAATCTATGAAGTAATAGGTCGTTTCTTGATGAACTGTACATACGCAAGTCCATGGAGAGATCGAAGGAGGCTTTCTGTTTTTTGTGCATATAAACTTTCACGGGCATGTTGGCAATTTGTGCTCATAAACTAAACACTCCTGTCCGTCTCATTGTTTATTTTTCAGATGATTGCCGCTCCTTAATTATTCTGAGATGTCCGAAATTTCTCTTTTATCAGATGTCCCAAAGAGTGGAATCTTCCCCTCTGATTGTTCACCTGATTTCTGAGCTGCTACAAGGGTTCGTGGACAACAATATTTTCGATAGCCTTTACTACTGTTTAGCTGGAATTGGCCCAAGGAAATCAATGTCCTCATGAAAAAGAATGGGCAGCCCGAGCGCCAAGTCCAGTATTGTTTAGTATCTATCACGATTTGGACCACCTGACCCAAACAGCGAAAGAACAGCTGCAAAACATGCAGGGCCAACGTTAATGAGGTTTCAGAGTGATGTCATAATTAATCACAGTACAATCCTGCCAAACAAATAATGACTAAATTCCAGACAAGACGTCCGCTGATATGAAATACACAGTTTTGGTTCTTTTCTTAGAAAGGCAGCCGACGCCGGATTGTCATCACCAACCCTTACGCTTTGCCATTTGGGTTTTAATTCGGCGGACCCTCCGTCCGTTACTCTTAAACCTTCGATATTTTTGGTGATCTGTCATGCCCATGCAGCTACTGCAGTAAACTCTCTCCTGCCAGTAACTTCTGAGTTCGGCGCAGTGCTTGAATTTTTGCATGTTAACATTTTAAAGTAGAGCGGTCTCTTTATGTTTTGGAATAAAATTTTGGGTAATTTCGTTTTCAGCCACCATCACCATCGATCACGGCATGCTTCGAGACCATGGATATGGCCGGTGGCGGAGTTGCATGGATAGGAGTGAAGGCGGGCAATTACCCTCTTCCTCCCTCAAATTTGATAAAATTACATAATAGTCTTAAAACTCTTCAATATTTGTAAGTTCGAATCATAATACTCGCATCCCTAGACTTTTTTTTATAAAATTATCTTCTTTAGTTGCATAAAAATATTACTTTCTCTATATAAATTAGCCTCTTGACTTCTATATATCCCCTCCTCATCATACATTGGCACTTCTTTTTTTCCTCCTTTTTTTATTTTATTTCACTTCTTTTCTCTCTTTGCTAATAAAATTTTTGGACCCATTAGACGTCATTGTAAAAGAAAAAAAATGGATTTGTCCTTTTTAAATGAATAAGCATGGATATTTCTTACATCAATCTAATAGTATTAATTTATGTTAAAGTTGACGGCGATACCCTTCTATCTACACTACAGAATCCTCACTCGGTAATTAAGTATGATAATAGGAAACACCAAAAATCAATAAATTCCTCATATTGATTGTGAAATTCCAACCCACAATCGAAAAAATAATTCATTTTTTCTTTTATCAATTGAGCTAACATGAGTTAATAGTAGAGTATTAGACGGGTGGCGTGCATGGGGAATTGTCTACGGCCTACGTGAAATTGCGGCTTCTTGCCACGTCATTCTCCTACTCTCTTTTTTTGATGCTGTCCTCTGTTTCACGTACTTGGATTTCAACTGTCAACTTACTGCATCACCAACACCAAAAAGGTTAAAGCCTGTTAGTCAGACAGCTGCACCTTTTCTGGATAACGAGCGAAAGCGAAGTTGATTGATGTGCGGTTAGGACTGAGGTATCCTACAATTTGGGTAACTCTTAGTTAGGGTAGGGCATGAAAGTTACGTTTGTTTTGTCTTGGAAACCTCGCTTTTTTAATTTGGAGATAATAAAATTTCTGAAAAGTTTTGAAATCTTTTTCTGTCCTTCGTGATTAATGTGGAGAATAATACTTCGCCACACAAAAAAAAAAAAACAGATCTGGATTTAATTTTCTAATGGATTATTAAAATGATTGATTTTATCCAAGTTTCCCGATTAGTAGAGCAAATAAAAAAACAAAAACAAATGGCCACGACCACAAAAAGCAACCGAAACCCCAGAAGGGGAGGGATCGTCAACGGCGACACCATAAATGATACAAACCAACGCGGACAAGGGACTCCACCACCACCACCAACTTCCCCTCAAAATTTCTGTCTTCATTCTTTCTCCGCACTCAGCTTACCATTTGTAAATTACAAAATTGCAATTGGATTACCCGCCCGCCTCTTATCCTGATATCGAAATGTAGCCTTTTAATTTTTAGTGTATTATAATTTTTCTACGGCTACATTCAATGCAAATGAAAATTTTGCGCTGCCGTTACCGATACCCAAAAAAAATGGAAGAAAGAACAATTACTCCTACAAATATTGAAAAGCTGGAAAGATTTGAATACTCGAACACTTTGCAGGAGTTATAATAATAATAAATAATACTCCTCTTCCTTTCTCTTTAATTTTAATTTTTAAACCGTGTTCTCTATTACATTCATCACCTTCACTCGGCCTCGTTTTGCCATTTCGAATTACTCTGCACAAAGGTCCTCAATACGCTGTCGTTTTCTTGTAGAAACAACCTTGTTTTGTCTTTAAATAAGGCTCATTGAAATAACCGGAGATTTTCAGCTGATACAAGTTTTTAGATAATCATTTTCGCTGTTGATTACACTACCATGAAGCATATGTTGAACCGGAAAATTTTTTTTTTAGGCTTTGATTTTACACATCTTATTCTGACGGATTGAAGAGAGATATCTACTGTTCATTTCTCGTTATTTCGATTATCTCTACCGCAACAGAGCACGAATTTTCAGTAGAACTTGGCTCTTTTTTTTTTTTTTTTTGTTGGTTTCCCTCCTGGTGTAGAATCGTCGATACTGAGAGTTTCAAGCGGAGTATTATTCTTAGCTGAATGGTGTCAAAAGATGCCAAGCATTAGAGCTCCAGCTGCCAAGAGGACGACGACTCTCACGGTTTGCTTATTTATCTGCTTTGGTCTTTGCCATTTTTAACCGGAATTGCGGTTCACCATTTTTAGTCTGCTGAATTATTGAATTTCTGTATGGTTGTGTGTAATATAGGTAGCTGTGAAATGTCGGCCATTGACAGAAAGAGATCGTGGCCGAAATATAATTAGAGTTCATAACGATAAGGTATATTCGTTTTACTGCTCTATGATTTTGTGCTTACTTTCTGCTCAGATTTTGCGGAATTAATCAGATTATAGTTTGGTGGAATGTTAGGGAATTTCAGTTTCTAGTTTAACTTCTTGTTTGAGTAATTCAGTCTATGTCATGTACTTTTATTTTAAGTAATGCGCCGTAATGAAAACTATGGAAATTTTAGGAAGTACTTGTTTTGGATCCTGACCTATCAAAGGACTATCTGGATCGCATACAGAATAGAACTAAAGAACGCAGATATAATTTTGATTACGTCTTCGGCCCTATCTCAACGAATTTGGTATGTCTTCTCTAATTTCTATGTAGCTTTCAATTATTTTGTGGTATAACATAGCCCTCTGATAAAATTTGAAAGGCATTAGAAAGCTCAAATATGCAATATTTAAATTTCTTTTCCTCTGCATAATATAGTCTTTGCATTATTTTAGGACGTATACCAAAGAAGCATACATTCTACAATAGCAGGGGTGATTCAAGGTCTGAATGCAACTGTATTTGCTTATGGTTCAACAGGAAGGTACATAATAAAAGCATTGCAAGTAGCCAGTGAGTGGAGCTTACCAGACACGTTTGCACTTTGAGAAATATCAAGATAGATTGATAGCTTTCTTAAGCTCATGATTTTATTTGTCTTGCCTGTTTCTCTTTTGCTTTTGGTTTCAAATTTGTTAGTTTCGTGAGGGGAATTAAATGCATGTTAACACATGGTAAGGTATAGGTATACTAAAAACTTGCTGTGCATTTTCTGGTAGCCTAAGACATTCTGATCTCAAGGCCTTATGTATCACTGACAGAGGCCTCGTGAACATTTCAAACTTTTCCTCATAAGGATCAAAAAATTTTTCGCCCCAACTGCAGTAGTATCACTGCCTCTCTCTCATTTTATAACTGGCAGAAGAAATGGCAGTGACAAAATGCATGATACCAAAAGAGTAGTTTTAGTAATGCAAGAGTCTTGCAATTAGTTGTAGCCTACCTTTGAAGGAATAATATATTAATTATTTATTTGGAGATGCCACATTGTCATTATCTTTTCCAGAGCAAAGTAGGTTTAAGACCTTAAACTTTGTCCTCTTCAATTCGCTCAGCTTCTCATCCTTCCCTCCCCTCCTTTGGTTCTTTATGTAATGGTACATATATTGTTGCCCTTCGTTCACCTGTATTTTGCAATCAAATGATTGGTAGGCAACATCTTCTCATATCATCACAAGAGGATCTTATCAGATTTTATTCTTTTTGGTTGTGTGATTAATATGCACCTTGTGAATTTTTTTCTTCATCTAATATGGTTTTTTCTTTCCAGCGGTAAAACATATACAATGGTAGGGACTCAAGATGACCCTGGACTTATGGTTCTCAGTCTTAAAACAATATTTGATCTTATAAAGAAAGATAATAGCTGCGATCAATTTGAAGTTACTTGTTCTTATCTTGAAGTTTACAATGAGGTAGAGTTCCCATGTGTAAAGAACAAAAGAAAAGATCTTCATTTTGACTTTTATGATTAATCATATTGGTCCATGTCTGACAATTAAAATGTACAGGTTATCTATGACTTGCTTGAAAGGTCATCAGGTCACCTGGAACTCAGAGAAGACCCAGAGCAAGGAATAATTGTTGCTGGCCTTAGATGCATCAAGGTTCATTTTTTCCTGGGGTAAAACTCAGGTCATAGTGTCATGCTAAATGCCAGCATTTATGACTGTCAGGATCTTTTTCAGAGTATTCGATATATTTACTGCTTTAAGTGTTGAGTATAAACTATGCATTTATGCATGTGTGAGATACGCTCATGTATGTCTATAAGAAGTGTATGTTCAAAGTATAAAACTGTATCATTAAGCTGGTCTATTGGACAAAGGGTATCAGCACTCTATTTCACTTCAGTTACTCATTAGCTCTTATGACTTCCACTTTCTTAATTTGGCTTAGTCAACCATGCCAGTTGTTTCCAATTTTGATTTTTGTAATGGGTTGTCACTCACGCCAAGTATAACATTCAGCTAGAGCTAAGGACATAATAAAATAGTCTTAGTACTCGCCTTATCCGTGTACTTGTGGATTGTCAAGAGCAGAAATATTCACGAGCAGCTGTACGCTTTTATCCTTAAAGTCAGAGTTTTCAATTTAGGATGCAGCTTCATGTTCTGCTCTGTTCTTATGCTTATACTTTTTCTTGTTTTTCCAATTCTTTGCTCGATTTGGACTCTTAAGACAGTAGGCCCAATAAATGTTTCAGTTTGATACCTCACACGTTAACATGCTACTGATTTTACATTTCCTTTTTGAATTTTGCAAACCTAGCTAGTAGAATTCCCTATAGTTCTTGATATGTCTTGGTATGTCTGGGGATCATGGCCTTATAATTACATTGACTAGAACTACCGCAAGTCTTGAGGAGTAACCATCCTTTTGCTATTGAATCTGATGTTATGTGGTTTCTGTTAGTCTTTTGCACATATAAATATTGGATTCATCTACTTTGTACAATAGGACAACTCACAGGCCTTAACAACCTTGTAATTTCTGTGTGTGTGTGTGTAATTTCCTAAGTTTCTTCTTTGTCATTTCCAGGTAAACTCAGCTGATAAGATTCTAGAACTTTTGAATTTGGGGAACAGTAGAAGAAAAACTGAAAGCACTGAAGCTAATGAAACTTCATCCAGGTTAGCAATATATTCTTCTTGTGCATCTAGTTGAATTAAGTTGCTGCAGTCTGTTAACTGGTGGCATGTTATGGTGTTCTTGACTGGAACCAAGACTTTTGTATTTTCTGAGTAATAGATATATGGTTAACTGTACTTTAGCCCAGGCCTTTTATGGCCATAAGAAAGCTTCACTTTGATGGGGTTTTTAGGGGTTTCAAGCATGAAGAACGCTCTTTAATTCTGGGATTATGGCTGAATTGGTTGACTCTTCTTAAACCCTGTAGCGTCCAGATTTCTGAGTGCCAAATTTCTCTCTCCGTTTCTACTGAGAAACTTGGGTCCAGCTATTCTTCGTTTTGGGTGATTATCGCAAAGGTTTTATCAGCAGTAATTGAGAACAAAGATTCCATTTAAGCCCATTAATTTTCCTCTAATTTTTGTTATTCCTTTAACTATATACCAACATTTTTTAAAATAAACATTTCTCTAGTTTAAGTAATTCTGGGAAATTAACACTTCCACTAGTATGTGAACCGGGCATTGTCTGGTATAGTGAAGCATAAAATCTCAATTATGTAGTGGAGAGTCTTGTGTCACCTGTTATTTCACTTATTTGAGTAGAATATGTTTCATCTGAGTTTTCTGTCGAACTAATTTTAGCTTTCAATGGCCAGATCACATGCAGTTTTGGGGATAAATGTGACAAGGAAACAGAGTAAGAAGTATCCCAATCAGGTCATTAGGGGAAAACTTTCCCTTGTCGATCTTGCTGGCAGGTTTGGTTCCTTCTGTTTGTTTGCACTTTAGGTATCCTGCTCTACTCAAAGGTGTTAATTACTTATCATTGCAAACTTTTTTATGCAGTGAACGAGCATCTGAAACAAATAGTGGAGGCAAAAAGTTGAGAGATGGTGCCAATATTAATCGATCTCTTCTTGCACTAGCAAACTGCATAAATGCCCTTGGCAAGCAACAGAAAAAGGGTCTAGCTTATGTTCCTTATAGAAACAGGTATGCTTTCAGTTGTCATGGACTCATGGTTCTATGGTTTCTCTTGTTCTTATATCTAACAGTAAATCCTTTCCAGCAAATTGACACGGATTCTTAAAGATGGTCTGAGCGGTAATTCCCAAACAATAATGATTGCTACAGTATCACCAGCCGATAGTCAGTATCACCACACAGTTAATACGTTAAAGTATGCTGACCGAGCAAAAGAAATCCGGACACACATCCAGGTGAGACTCGTATATATGTTCACATTTGTTTTGAGGAAAATTAAGATGGGGTATTTAAATCTCATTGCATCAAGAAATTCTTGTGGCATGAGGAGATGACAGAATCTATCTTCTTGTTTTGGTGAACTTAAATAGAATACCCTTTGATTATGGATTCATATTTGAACTTACTGATGATTGACCACAAATATCTTGGCAATGATCCATCAAATGGTCAGAGTGCTAAGCTTTATTGCTGGTGATCTTAAGGATTGGAGAATCATATGAAAAACCTGTAAGGGTGTGCTGCTGAGCTGTCAAAGAGTCACTTCCCTAATAAATTTGATGATTTTTCACAAAAGATTCACTTTAAGAACTATTGCTGAATGTTAGTGGTATCTCCAAACCGCATAAGAAGCCCTTATCAGGCATGCAAATTGAATCTTTTTCATAAAAGTGATTCCAAGGAAATAAAATTACATTCAGAGATTGTATGTTGTGTTCCAGAAAGCAAGTTGCGGTTTTGGGTCCTCATGTTGTCCTATATCTTTTTGAATACCATAATTGCATGGTATCTTTCTTTCTCCAAAACATGCTATGACAATGCTTTAATTTCTTGAAGGTTTCATCATGTTTATTGTGCTCTTTCCTCATTCCTTGTCTAATGGTATCCTGAATGCTTAATCAATTGATGCAATTTCTAACCATGGTCATAGATTTGATAATCTGTCCATACCCATGTCAGAAAAATATCGGCACCATAAATACACACGTGTCAGACTACCAAAGGATGATCGACACTCTACAGGTAACCTGCTTGATATACCAACATGAAAGTATTATGTCAGGTATTAACACTTCCATGTACAATGAAATATCTGCAGAATGAAGTGAGCCAGTTGAGAAAGGAGTTATCAGAAAAAGAATCTCAACTGAGTGCTAAGCCTGCTGAGAAATCTGTGGATGATGAAATGTCATGGTTGGATGGGTTGAGCCAAGAAACCAGTGAAAATGTTCAGGAAAGGATAAACTTGCAGAAGGCTCTATTTGAACTGGAGGAAACTAACCTTCATAACCGCACTGAACTCCAACAACTTGATGACGCTATTGCAAAACAGCAGGTAGAAAAAAGTGAGAGTTTATTTTACACTCAAAAACATTTTCCAAAACAAGTAGGTGAACCTTGTCAACGAAAATCCCCTCTTCTGTCATTCTGGGAGGATGAATTCCAAACCTCCTGCGGATACAAAGGCATCTGAAGTCCAGATTAACTGTTGATATTAGACATATATGCCAGAAAATCATGTCCAAATGAGTTCCTATTTGCATCACAGGAAATTGAAAAAGATGGAGCAGTTGTGCAGGCTTTGAGACAGAGGCGGCAAGTGATTCTTGACAATATCCGTGACAATGATGAACTTGGTGTCCATTACCAGATGGTGACCATACATAGCTGTTTTTGTAAATTGGTTCCTTCTATTGTGGCTTTCTTATTTTAACAAGTCTTTATCCTGCAGGAAATTGAAGCAAATGAGAAGCGCAGGCATCAGCTACAAGAAATGATTGAAGATGCAATCAGCAACAATGGCAACAAAACCTATTTGCGAGTTCTGAGTCAATACAGACTCCTGGTATTACATCATACATGCATCATTTAGCTTCTGTATCACAACATAAAATGTTAGAAACATTTTCCTTCTTCATAAATTAGACTTAGTAGCTTCTGTTATTTGAGTATTTGTCGAGCTGGTACCTTTCTTCAAGCATGCTTAATGGGTTTGCCCTTTTTGTATTTCTCCAACTTCGCTTATTGGTTGGCACAAGTTGGTTGGGAATTTTGAATGCTGGATAGCCAATGATTGTTAGGGCTTTTTCTGGGCCTGGGAACTTGTTTGCTGCACCTAACAATCCTTGAATTGTGATATGTAAAGGGAATTGCAAACACTGAGCTCCAGTTTGAAATGGCTATGAGAGATCAAATTATTTGCAGCCAGAGGGAAGCACAGAGGAATATGTGGAATCTGCTGCTGAGTTTGGGACTTGATGAGAAGCAGTTATTGGAGCTTACCGAGAAACAAGGGATTACAATTGAAGACTATATGCCAACGCCTCAAGTTGGAGTAAGATACTATCAGCCTTCATTAGATATGGGATGTGGAAGATACTCACCTTCATCTTGTTCCACGAATAATAAGTTGCACACTAGAGCACCCTGTGGTTTTCCACAACACCAAAACTTGAGTGTCAGGTCACTTTCCAAGGACAACTGGACAGCGCCTGGTACATATTGCGGAGAGGAGCATCATAGTTCATATTATTACATGTCTCTCAATCACTCACCGGCAGCATACATGAGGATTAGTAGTCAGCACTGGTTTGGAAATGGGCCTAACTCACAGTACTGCACCCCTGATAGATCTCCTCTTTATTTGCGTAACTCATTCCCACAGATGAGAACCATGGTCTCGCCTTACAGCAATAGTAGGCAGGAGCAGGAGCAGGTATCTATCAATTAATCACCAACCTGAAATGACACAAGTTATGTCCTTTAGATAGTTTGCGTTTTTTTTTTAATACCATTCCTTTCTTATTTTTGTAACTGCATGTAGTTGCTATTGAATCTTTCGCAGGATATATGGACAAACTCTATCAGTCAACAAAATCAAGCAACTCTGGGAGTGGGAATGCATACTAGTCAGGACACCCAGGGAAGAACCAATATGACTTGTGCTAGCGACATGTATAATGTGTTTAGAAATAGGCCATTTGAGAATATTCCTGCCGGTCCTCAACTTGTTTCTGCAAAAGCCAATTCCTCTAATCCACCAGAGACATCACAGCTACCTTCTTTTGTTACTTCGAGAAAAAGTTCATTTAGTCCCTGACTGTTGATTCTTATCTCTCCAAAGTTCAAAAAACTTTATGCCGACTGCCTAATCTCTTAGCCTCCTCTTCATGTCTTTGCGCCCGAGGATTGTACATAATTTTGACTATACTAGGAGTTAGGACCATCGAGAGATGATTGTAGCCAAGGGCAAACAGCCGAGTCCTTATTCTGTCCCTTTTCTTGTCCCCTGCGATTCATATCATTCTTTTACCTTCTCTCTGTTTCAGAATGTTTCCTGAACTACGTAGGCTCGTGATTTTGAATGGGATTTAATTGTACATATATGTGGCAGAGGGTAGTAGTAGCAGCAGCCCCTGAATTATCTGTAATGGAGCAGCGGTAAAGGCACTCCTTCAAACTTCCATCAGAAAACGGAGAAATCTAGAGGCTGGTTTCTTCTAGCGTAGAATTTTTGACAAACATTGTTGCAAAGCTCGAAGAATATTTTGCCACTCGAGTTGCAGCTTCAATTTTTATGGGCTACTTCCCTTACAGATTTCATATGTACAATGCATTTGATTGTGCGCCTGAAGGCGTCATTATTAGCATTAGTTACAAATCATCACAACAAACTATTACTACTACTTATTTTGCTATTGAATCAGTAACATGAACGGGAATGCTAGTGTTTGTGTTTAGACAGAAATCATTTTTAAAAAAATATTTATTTGCATCACAAACACATTTTTTAATACAATCTTTATCTTTCTATTCACTATTTTATTTCATATATATCTCGTAAAAAGTCCTACAATAATTATTCTGATAATATTTTAAATAATCTCCTATCCAAAAACATTTACTGAATCACTCGTTTTTCATGTTTTGATTATTTGGATTAATCTGTTTTCTTTTATCGCAACATATCAATAAAGGTTTTATCACAATATTTTCTCACATTCTAAAGTGGTGAAGATATTGATTTGACCCATCAGCGGTACCAACTATGTCGCCGCCAGAAGGAGAACCATATTTCTTCTAAAGAGTCTCCTAATTCTTCCAAACCAACTAGAAAGATATTATTATTATTATTATTTCGATAATAAATAGTCTAAATGATTGATTTTGAACAATAGATGTCTTTCACATCTAGTTAGAACAATAAGTAATTCCCTTTAAATGGCAATTCCAAAAAAATTCTTCATTAAAGAAGTGTATTTTTCATCAAAAAAACGTATTCGTAAAATATTTGAAAAACAAAGATATTGGACAGTTTTAAAAGTTTTTTCCTTAAGAAAATCTCTTTCTACTGGGAATTCAAAAAGTTTTTTTTGTTCAACAAACAAATAAATAAGTAATAAAAGTTTGGAATAATCGGAATACACTCAAAAATCGATCCATTTTCAATTTTCTATGAAATAGAAAATTTTCATCATCTCTTGAGTTGATGTAATCAATATGAGATGGAATTAAATTCATTCTTTTAGTTTTAAAAATAAGAATTTTTTGGTTACTGAATTATTCCAAAAATCCTAGTACTTTTTATTGACAAAAAAATAAAAATTTTGTTGACAAATGAATAAATACAAGGTAAAAGGTTTACCTTTCTTTTTCTCATTTTCAAGATAGGGAGGTTTATTCTGTCATTAAGGTAGAGAATTGAATCAAGAATTCTCTATCTTCATTATCAATTGAATCACTGTTCGCGACCTAAGAAAGAATTGATTACATTTTTTATAGGAATAAATAGACTACAAAATTGACTAGAGTTCTTTTTGTTTCATTTCACCCTTCGTTTTTATTTATTCTTTTAGTTTCCTTTTCCTATTTTTATTGAAAAGTATTCAAGTTATGTGAACTATCAATGCTTACTGCTTAGTTTCTCTTGGACTCCAAGCCAGAAAGGATGAACGCGAGTTGATACACTAATTCCTCATCCGCAAATCAGCCCTTCTCATGGGTTATTTTGTCTTCAAGTTCTAGTGGATGGTACAAAACTACTTGAATAAAAAATCTTCTTCCATCTAGGGATGCTCGTTTCTTCAATATTGGACCATCCATTGCAGTCATATCAACTTTACTAAATTATCTAGCAATTCCTTGTTGTTATTGACTTGTTCTAGTTAGCCTTACTATTGGTGTTTTTTTTTATGGATTGCCATTTCAAGTATTACTTTCACTAGAAAAGCACTTGCCATTCATTGGTTATTAGCGGCATCTCGAAAACATTCAAGTCGAAATATGGCTTTCAAATTAAGTTTCATATTAGTGGATGCTGCCAAAGGGAGTGGCGATGCCATACACAAAAAGAAAGAGACTCAAAAAACGACAGAGACAAATAGAGCTTTTGCACATTTTCGTTAATCTATGAACAAAATCTATATATCTCGATAAAAAAAAATCAAGAGAAAAAGAAAGAATCAGAATATGTAATGTTATGCCAATACCTAATCGAAGGGTGACTACAGTGCCAATAAAAAAGACAGTTGTCACTACTGGACAACCAAATGGATTTTGAAATTTATTAACATTCTCTAAAAAATATACTGTTAATAATCCGCAGGTATTGGAACCATTAAAAGAGTACTCAACAATTTATTTGGTACTGTACTAAGTATTTGAAATACGAAAAAGAAATACCATTCTGGTAATAATTCCAAGGGAGTTGCGAATGAATCTGCCGGTTCACCAACCATTGATAGTTCTAGAACCGCTAAACCTACGTTACATAAAATAGTACCTACAATTACTATTGAAAAAATATATAAAAGATCGTTGAGCCATGCGAGCTCTTCATAATAATTATGACAGTTATTATTACTACCATGAGTTTGGGACAATTGGTAAGCAGGTTATTGAAATAGCTGATAAGCAGGTTGCTGATGCCAATGACGGGTTGCTAATGCTAATGGTAGGTTGCTAAGGTCACAAGTTCAACTCACTTTGAAAAGTTCTGAACCTAACCTCCACTTTCGAGTAAGAGCCGAACTTTACGGCATTCTCCGAGTCAAATTCAGTTTTCTTATACTATATAAGACTGAGTTTTGGTCAAAAAGAGTTTTAAATTTTAACCGCATGGGTAGGGGTATTTTGAAAATGTGAAATAATGTGTTGCTTTTTTAAAGTTTTTTGTACAATTCATGGCAGCACGTGTTTGGATATGTTTACAGAGATGCCCTCATGTTGTACATTTAAAGTTTGTATTGTAAGTAGAGTACAATTTATGGTGAATTCTTTTGTCATACATTTCCAAAAATGGGGTTGTGTCTTTTTATGGGTATTTTGGGAATGTATGATTATTTTGGTTATTTTTTATCGGTGGGTACAAGTGATAATAGCCTTTGTGTGGCTATAATTAGCTAAACGTCCTTAGTCTCTAATTAAATTGGGGAGAATGTGATTTAGTAGGTAATTAGTGAAAGGAATTAATGAGGGAAGGGTATTTTGGAAATGCGAGTTTGTTGTATTGCTCTTTTTAACAGTTGGTACAACTCATAATAACTTTTGTCTTGGTGTAATTACATAAAGGTGGTGAGTTGCAAATTAAAGGTTGGAGAACATGATGGTTTGATGTAACTTATTAGACTTCTCGACTGGCTAAATTCCATTCATTGCATGGGTTTATTGCAAATGATTTATTAGACACAATCATTAGGGATAATTGGCAGAAATTGGCTAGATAGGCGTTACTATTCAAATTCTGCTGCTTCAACTTCATGTATTTGGCTTAAGATCTTTAACGTTTCCAACCATTCTAAGACCAGGATGGTTAAGAAAAAATTAATGCTAATTATTGAAAAATTTAAAGTATCAAGTGTTAGACATCTGTTCATCCTCTTTTCTCAGTTTTTGGGTTTGCTCAATAAAGGTATTATTGTTTGCAACCATTTTTCATCCATTTGAAGACAAATCATAACAATCAATTGACTTTTAATTTTTTGAATTGTATTTTTTTGCGTTGCTTGTATTTGTGGTAGAAACAGGATTCATAGGAAGAGTGTTACATACTTACATCTCCTAATCAGAATCTCCAAGCCAATGTATGTTGAAGCGGTATTTTTTACATTGAAATTTGTCATAATTTGTAAATAACTTGTGATATATGTATAACTGCTTTCTATGCACATGTTAATATATTTAATTAGGTCATACTAATGAATTAACAATGTCAGCCTCATGTGTGTGAGGAAAAGTTTTGTAGGGAATATTTGGAATAAGGTAATCCAAATTTTATCCTTTCTGCTGAATCTTTTAAATTCTTTTGATATACATGTAGTTAGTTCTGAAATTGATTTTGGTGTGAGTGTATACTTAGTGATACTAATTTAGTTTGGTGACAGAGCTCGTACATTTATGTATTTGGTTATATATATGATTGTCTGATTTTTGGGAATACTTGATTCATTTGGTGGGTAGTTTGACCTTTGTACTGCCGATTTGTTATGGTGATAAAGTTGAATCATCTATGTGATCATATGATAACTGATTTTGGTAGTTTGATCTTCTGTTATGAAACTTATGACTTGTCTTAAACTTATGTTTGATAATATGTTTATTTTCTCTTATATTTTGCTAAACTTATGGTAATTGAGTAGTCCACAGTGGTTGAATAGAATTCATTAAAGCTTTCATTCCTGACTTTCTTCACAAAGCATTAGAATTCAACCTAAATTTAGATACATACTTTATTAGTATTACACCACAAATTATGCCAGATAAATAGTTCCAAAATTCGATTGAAGTTGGAGTTGTTTTATCACCAATTGTCTGAAACTATATCAAATTTAGTACTACCAAAAAATTATACGGACAAATATATTCTTATATTTTGAAGATCCTTGTAAATACTTTATTACAATTTTACCAAAAACAAAGCTCCCAAAGTAGATAAAAATGTATCTTAATTTGTATAAGTTAATAACTTCAATTTCTAATAATTTGTAAAATCTTTGCCTACTTAATTTATTAGCTGTTGCACCAAATGAAATGATTGTTAGATGTTATCATACAGTAGCATTTGACAAATTTGACTAAAACTCATTCTTATATAGTATAAGGACATCTGGATATTTTTGAACTGAGAGATTATTTTGCAATCGTTAGTGCATTGGGTACAACTTATATAAGCATATGTATTGGTGTAATTTACTGAAATGGTGTCTTATTGCAATTAAAATAAAGAGACTTGCAACTATTCATTCAATTATGTGAAATAACTCATAATAATACCAATGCATGAGTTTCTATGTCTGAATCATGTCTTTGAAACAGCTTCCACACCAACAATATACCACTATTTACATCTCAATTAAACAGCAAAAAACATAGGTATGTTGATGATTTAATGTCTAAGTATCGATTATGGTTGTTCCGATGTTTCCTCTTTCACATTCTTCCGTTTGTTCCCTTTTCGGCTTCTAGGATTAGGTTTAATGCCCTCTAAACTACTCCATTATCCATGTATTTCCTTCTACTCATATTAAGTAGGATTCGGTTAATACGCATTATTATCTACAATAATTTTATTAATATTACTTAATATGCGTTGTTATCCTACTGTTATCTTTATTCACATGCTCACCTTGCAACAATATGGATGATATGTACTGATAGGTTCTTGATCAAAAATAACTTCTTGATTAATATGGAAATAATATTCACTTCAACGACTAAAAAATTTTCTTTAATCACAGATATTGAATACCCGCACGATGCACGGGCACTTCCCTCTTACTAAAGGCAAGGATACCGAGTGCTAAAAAGCATAAAATAAAATAAAAGTTATTACTACTAGAATAAAATTGAATTTTGGTCAATCCCTATTCCCCCAAGGTTCAGATTCCCAGAAGTTTTGTCCGAGTACAAATTCAAGTCGATCACACAACATTATATTGCGAGACTTCTCAGCAAGCAATCTCCATAGCTTTTGCTTTTGGCTCATTGCGTGGTCTCAGGCTGGCCGAGCCTCCGGGAATCCCGCTTGCCGCACGAGTTACCGGTGAGTCTCAGGCTTGGAGCTCAAATCCTGGTCATTAGATTTCCTCACTCAATCACTTAATGCCACATCCATACTACGGGCAAGTCTCATTCCTTAAACCCCTTCTAAACACCAACTCCGGCCAGAAATCCTTCTCCAGTTTCACCCAGCACCACCCATAAAAACAAGGGGCAGAAGAAGATTTAGTTTTTGGGAGCATGGCTTCAGCAGCAACAGAACCAGCAGAAGCCTTCAAGCCCTACAAGCTAAAACATAACCTAAGTGGCCACAAAAGAGCCATCTCCAGCGTCAAATTCTCCGATGACGGCCGACTCCTAGCCTCTGCCTCCGCCGACAAAACCGCCTGCACCTGGTCTCCTTCCGACGGCTCCCTCCTCCAAGAATACCAAGGTCACGACCAAGGAATCTCCGACCTCGCCTTTTCCTCCGACGCCCGGTACCTCGCCACCGCCTCTGACGACAAAACCGTCCGCCTCTGGGACGTTGCCACCGGAAGCCTAGTCAAAACCCTCTCTGGCCATACCAATTACGTCTTTTGCGTCAACTTTAATCCTCAGTCCAACATGCTTGTTTCCGGGTCGTTCGACGAAACTGTTCGGGCATGGGATGTTAAGTCGGGGAAGTGCTTGAAGGTTTTGCCGGCGCATTCAGACCCTGTGACGGCGGTTCATTTTAACAGGGATGGGACGCTGATTGTATCTAGTAGTTATGATGGATTGTGTAGGATTTGGGATGCTTCAACTGGGCATTGTATGAAGACTCTGATTGATGATGAGAATCCACCTGTGAGCTTTGTGAGATTTTCGCCCAATGGAAAGTTTATCCTCGTTGGAACTTTGGACAATACCTTTGTAAGTGCTCTGTGTTTCTTTTTTATTTTTTTTGCCCTTCCTTCTTTTTCCTCTCTTTTCTTATGTTGCATTGCTGGTGTCTTTTAAGTGCAAGATTGGATTTTAAAGTTTCTGAGCATAATAGTCTGTTGTGACGATTTTTTTGGTGCATCAGTTCTTCAATTGGTTGTTATTGCGTTTGTTAATTTCTTCGGACTTGTTATGGATGAACTTGTTGTTATAAGAGGTATTTGAGAAGTTCATCACGGGCTTCAAGTTCATTCTAGTAGTCGTAAAGCGAGAAAATTTGTAATGCTGGCCATTTGTAAATGTAGTAGCATGGTAATAAAACTGATTGTGCTCTGTTGTTAACCTGAGCAGAGACCTAGTCTGTGTTTTGATGAAATCCTTCATGTAAAATGCAGGGGAGATTGCAATGCAATCTTCTTGGAGTAGAATACCAAACATTGCCTTAGTTTGGATAAGTGACGGTGGTACAAGCAAATTCAAGCCTTGTGATTATATGTCTTGGGCTGAGTTTCTAAAGTCTTCAGTTCAAGGCATGCATGACGCCAAAAAAAGCGTCAAAAATATACTGAACCTAAATATTGTGGCACATACTAAATATAATCCAATGCCCACTTCTTGATTACGCGTGGTGCAGCAGGCTGATTTTTGACATGTTTGAATGTACTAAAACGAGTGCAAAGGAAATAAGAGGTGCTTATCTTATGATCAATCATAATTGATAGATTATGAGGTAGAGACACAGACATTTTGTGCTAGTACTTTTTAGCATATTCAATCTCATTCACTTTGTGCTAATACTGCTTTTCTGATTTCCTTCTGCTGGCTACTATCCTTGGCTGCTCTTTAGAGTCAGCATGGTTACAACAATCCAAAATGTCACTTGGTGTGTACAACACATAATTCAGACTGTGGATATGAGACTGCATCATGGTGAATGTTGCATTTTCGCGAGTGTTGGATTTTTGTGGTTGTCAAATATGATGATCTTTTATCGCAAGCTTTGTGCACTGCCTTTCTGCATTTGATCATATATTATCATCTAGGGGGCACAGGCTTGAACACCTCTGGGTACTTTCTGCCAGGGAATAAATTTCTTTCCGAGATTTATTAGAATGGTATAGTTCCATTTAATGCATGGTGCCACACTATATGCTGTTTCTGGTAATTTGCGGAGTCCCGTTCCCACTGTTTCATACTGACATAAGTGCAACGGTGTAGTTTTTGGGGCTTGGGTTCAAGAAATGCTGAACTGTTATCATACTACGCAGATGTTTTGAATTTTGGGGATTATTTTGCATGTATGTAAAACATTTTGGTGTGGTTGCAGCGGCTTTGGAACTTCTCAACTGGAAAATATCTGAAAACCTACACAGGCCATGTCAATTCAAAGTATTGCATCTCTGCTACATTTTCGGTGACAAATGGCAAGTACATTGTAAGCGGTTCAGAGGATAATTCTATCTACTTATGGGAGCTTCAGTCAAGGAAGATTGTTCAAAAACTGGAAGGTCATACTGATACTGTCGTATCTGTATCATGTCACCCAACCGAAAACATGATAGCATCTGGTGCTCTCGGAGAGGACAAGACAGTCAAAATCTGGACTCGGGAGGACTGAGTTTGTGACCAGCATAGGGGATTTAGTAACATTGACAAGTCCTCTCTCCTGGTCGTGAAATTTGACTTCCCAGTTGGTGAAGATGGATTGCTCGTGGCAAGGATCTCTGATTATTTGTAGATGCAGGTAGTTATTCAAGATAGTCTATTGTAGCCTTATTGTTTGTTTTCTGCTCATACGTAATTTAGTGTGAGGGGAAAGTGTCGTTCTTCTGGGAGCTGAATGGACAAAATGGTTAATTCATCTGAACGACAGTGTTCTATTTCCCCCGTTCACTATGCATCTTGTGTTAACAAAACATGGGGGGGGGGGTGAATTGTTTCATCATCTAGACCCTCTGGTGGTTGTCGGTACATGAAGTTAGACATTGAGATGTGTATGTTGCTGACGAATGTTTTCTCTGATGAACTGAGATTTGAGATTGCAACTTTGGATGTTGCTATCATTTTTGTAAGCAACCTCTGTTATGTGAATCTCTCAACTTGAACTTAAAATATATATATATAAAAAGAAAAGAACTGGTCTTGGACTCTTGGATTCTACACGGCAAGTAGTGTATAGAATTGTGGGTAACAGTAGTGAATCCTTTTGAGAAAGTAGTATTAGAGACATCCTTGAATGCCATTGAAATGCAGGCATCTCCTTTGCACTTAATATATTAAGCACTTCTTAATTTGCAGATAAGATTTCAAGTGAAAATTTTTTATTGAATTTTGTGAATTGCTTGTACATATCACACCCCTTACACATATGGTACACTCTTGTACACATATGCTCTCCCACAAAGTATATATTTGTTCTCAGCACAGATAGACATATTAAGTACTATCTCTTAATTGTTCAATTATTTTTTCTCACACTCATGAATTTTCTTTTTTTCCAAATATACAAATGAGGACAATTTTTTTTTAGGGAGAGGGGGGGGGGGGGAGTATATAATATTTGTGCAATATTTAATTCAGTGCTATAATTCAATTTAGTTGTGCTATAATTCAGTAGTATGTTCTATTCACCAGTTGATATATATTCTAGAAGATTTTCAATAATATGATGCGTCATTTCCCAAGACGTGCTCCATCAGTTGAACGCCAGCTTTGGTGATCTCACCAGAATAGCATATGTGATCTCAAGCCGTCATACTCGCTCAATCCCTGCGCAAACGTTGCTATTCTGGTAGCAGTAGTACTTTCCAACCACTCAAGTTTTTCCGTTGAAGACTCGGAGCAAACGTCACAATCCCTAAGCGCTGCTATTCTGGTACCACTTTCTGACATCCAATCCACAGCAAGTTTTCCCACTAGAGACTCGCGCCAAACATTTCACAATTCCGGAATAGAAAAGATGAGGAAGGAGGTGGTGGCGGCGGCAGTAACTGTAACAACTGCAGCTGCTGCTGTTGCTGCGATGGTGTTAGTGAGGCACTGGAAGCGCCAAAACGAGCGAAGTTGGAGGCATGCAAAGCGCATTTTGCGAAAGTTTGCGAGGGAGAGTGCTACTCCAGTCACCGAACTTTGGCTTGTGGCTAATGACTTGGCGGTTGACATGCAAACCGGCCTTATTTCTGAACAATCCAAACTTGGCATGTTTCCTTTCTACTCCGGTTCACTTCCCACTGGGTAATTTACACTGCTCCAAATGATCAATCTCCTCTGTTTCCAAAATTTTGATTTTAGACGCTATAGTAAATAATCACACCATTGTGTAAATTACATACATATATATATACACGTATATTGTGGCAGTGATGAGAAAGGGGTATACTATGGAATAAACCTTCGCGGTGATAATTTCTTGATTCTAAGAGCGCAGCTTGGAGGGAAGAATGAAATTTTATCTGAATTCCAGAGGGAGGAGGTTCAAATTCCTTTCCGTGTAATTTCTGCCGATTCCAAGGCAAGTACTAGCAGTAGTTTTCATTTCTCAATTATGTAAGTGCTTAAACCTCAGGTTGTGGACATGGCAACTCTAGAACATAAAGTGAAAAAGAAAATGGTGGCAGTGATTAGTAGCAATAAATAAATACCGTCTTACCCAAATGCCTGTCGTCTTCACTTTCAAATTAAACAACTCAAAAGGCCTATGCTTGTTGATTTTCTCGAACATTGCTTGAGGGAGGAGTAGTACAAAAGTCAAAAGTCATTCGCTTTCCATTGTTTAATTGTGTGGAAGAAATATTTAAGGGATAATATTTCAACTTAATAGAATGAATCTTCCATAAAGGCATCAGGCAAGGTTTTGTCGAATGTTTTTCATCAGCTAATCTCTACTCAAGTCCACTTGTTCATGCAGGAATTATTTGATCTAATTGCCTTGGAGCTTTCAAAATTTGTTTCTCTTCATGAAGACCTTACAGGAAAGACAAAACTAGAGAAGCTTAAACTAGGATTTACAATATCGCCTCCGGTTGACCAAGCCGCAGCCTCCTCGTGCAGAGGCATCGATTGGAGGAGGTTAACAGATGACACAGTTAAGTCTGCTCCTTGATTTGAAGCTTTCCCGGTTAACATGTTGCATATGTTGGGAACTATTAGTGAAAGTCGCCGTGAAAATCTTGTAAATTTACCCTTCCTAGAAAACCTGCTTTATCGCAATAGAACTAATTTAGAAATTATGGCTCGCCAAAAAAGAAACTACTGTGTAGTATTCAAAATTTACAGTGAAAATGACACATTGATGTAAGAGCTTACCTTTCAGAGTCTGCGAGTGATAAGAGGATCTAGATCCTTAATCTAATTATTGAGGTTCCACTGAAATGGCTTCCATGATTTCACTTATTTATACATGATTTGCAGAGGAGTGTGAGGATTGCCACAATTTGATTCCCATGAAAGGATTTCATGAATTTTTGTAGATTCCTCAGACTCCATTGTGTAGTAATCTTGTTCAGAACAAATTCATCAGGTCAGGACACAGATGATGACTGAAATTAATGTGGCTTTGCTGAAGCATGGTGTGGAAATGCAAGTTTCTGCTATGGTAAGATCCTCAATTTGGTGGTTAGTTGTAACTGGGATTCTGTAATTTTTGTGCAAGTAAACCCCAAGTTTGAGGAGAGTGTAGCGTCTCCAAGCTAGGAATTGACTCAAATAGCTTGGCGATTTCCCAGGTGGATGAAGTCATTGGCTGTTTGGCTGGGGCAAGGTACTACAGTAGAGAAAGTGTCGCTGCACTTAGTTTAGGGATGGCCGTTAATGCTGCTTATATAGAATCAGTACAAGAAGTTCAAAAGTTGCAGGGCCAATTATCCAACTCCGGAGAAATGGTTGTGCTGTCATATGTTGTATAAGCACATATTCAGATTATATAGGCATCATATCATTTAAGTTGTTGACGTGCTTATTATAACTCTGCAGGCTATTAGTGTGAATTGGGGAAATTTTAGTTCCATTCACCTTCCAATGACAGAGTTTGATGCTTCCTTAGATTCTGAAAGCACAAATCCTGGTAGCGGGGTAGGGAACTTGGATATCAGGTGTCTGAATTCGCATTCTAAGTCATACGAATCCCTTCCTGAATCCTGTTTTGTTTTGTCTCAGATATTTGAAAAGCTTATTTCAGGGATGTATTTAGGAGAGATTGTTAGAAAAGTCCTACTGAAGATGGCGCAAGAAGCAGCTTTATTTGGAGATAACCTCCCAATCAAGCTCACCATCCCATACTTGTTGAGGTAAATGGAAGTCAATATTTTGTGATATTATATAAGTTCGGTAGCAATTCCAGAACTGAGATGCATTCCTTCCTTCATGTCAATTAAGCAGAAAACCAGACACTTGGAGTTGGTATGACATTAATGGTTTTGTAAATTTACCCGTACAGTTCAGGAAAGAAACTACGCTTAAACTTTGACGTTGAGCAGGATCAAATTTTTTTTCCCTATGATGTCATAATTATTTGAAGCAATCGAAATTGATGCAGAGGTGGGGTTATGAATTGAAGGAATGTAGTAGGAGAATCAATATATTTTTCTTTTTTTTTTTTTTTTTGGGTGGAAACTGGAAAGGAAGAGAGTTCACGGTAGACCATTTGATTATTAGACTACAAGCCATTTCTATGCACTCGTTCATGGAATTATTCTTTCATCTGTATTGCATAAGTCTTGTGCTTTGACAGGTCACATGATGTGGCTATTATGCACCAGGACACATCAGAGGATTATGAAATGGTTGATGAAAAACTAAAGGAAATATTCGAGGTAACTTTAACCATCTTCTCATGTAGAAATTTGCTAACTCTGTTTTTATGACCACTGACAACACTTTTTCCGGACATAATCAAAATTCAGAAGCACACTTTGCCGGTCCACAATAGAGAGTAGTATTTGTCTGCGAATTTAGTTACCATGTCATATGCATAATTGCACTAGTCGCTGTATCTTTCACCTTCTGCCCATCAGTCCACAAGCAATTGGTGCTTATCATTGTCATCCAAACTGGTTAAAACTTGCATCCTGATTACACAAACAAAACTGCTGGTCTGCACAAGCACAGTGGCTCTTAGTAACGCACCACCAATCTATCCCAGATATCCAGCACTACACCAGTGGTGAGAGAAATCGTTGCAGAGGTCTGTGACATAGTTGCAGAGCGCGGAGCTCGTCTTGTGGGAGCTGGAATAATGGGGATTGTCAAAAAACTCGGAAGAATTGCTAACAAGAAGAGCGTAATTACGGTTGAAGGTGGACTGTATGAGCATTATCGCATCTTTAGAAACTATCTGCATAGCAGTGTTTGGGAGATGCTGGGGAGTGACCTCTCTGACAATGTGATTATAGAGCATTCTCACGGAGGTTCAGGAGCTGGGGCTCTCTTTATTGCTGCTTCACAGACGCGAGATGCAGATTCCTAGGCACACCATTTTGAACCCTGTTCCTGTTGCCCTTAATAATATATTATTGTAATCTGATATTGAGATTGTGGAATTTTAGTTCATTCATCCCCGTTTGTTAAGACTTTTTTTTTTTTTACGACTCAGACCAAGCAACAGAGAGTCAGCAGCCAAAAAAAAAAGGTGGCCGCTAAAAGTGCAACGTTTAATTTGGATCAACTTGGCCGTGTCGTTAGAATTGGGCTCGTCCGATTCTGTATCATTGGTCTTGTCCATACCTAAGCTATGGCTAAGAAGGCACCAAACTCTCATGATTCGATCAAATTCCAACAGAGTATCTGGAGCTCCAATCAATTGCAGATGGACTTCAAATTGGGTTACTCCTAAGTCTCCTCGAGAATGGATTTCAATTCCAAGAACGAACCATGAAAAATTTCGGAGTTCTTCCGGCCCACGCGAGTGGCGAAGTAAAACAGAAAGCAAAGAAACTCAAAGGCCTTTAGCTTGAAGCCTTGAAACATTGATTTATATCCAGTTTCCTTGTCAGCACGTGACATTCTCTTGCGCGAAAGTTTTTGTTTTCTTGTGGGTAAAAAATAAGAGGACATGTTAGTAGTAGTAAATAATAATAGAGCGAGCATTGTATCTGCCTATCTTGCAGCAGTGTGTGTCGAAGATTCTGCACAAAACTGCTATCAAATCAAACACGCAAAGTAAGCCAGAGTTTGAAAAGGACTTGAGAGGTGCAAACACAATACAGTAAACAACATCGTCTCATTCATTGTCTTCTATTTCTTCTGCAATCACAATACAGTAGTTTTATGTTCATTTAACTGGCAAGAAGATGAAATAGCCCCCCCTCCCCCCCCCCCCCCCCCCCCACAAAAGAAGGGGAAAAAAGAAAAGAAAAGAAAAAAGTAGTACTCCATTCAGCAGCCTTTTTGCAGAAATACCCATAAAAAAATGAAGCAGCGAAGATGGAAAATGGTCAGAGTAATAACCTGAAATGATGACTAGCCGTGACGACCAACCAACAAACATTAGATTCTTCTTTTTGAAATCGCCCAAATGCGTCCAAAGAAAGCTTGGGCCTTTTGTTTCGGCCGGGGAAAGATAAGACAAAGACCACACATTAGCCCGCGACCATTTAGCTGTTGCAAGTGAAATTGTTTCCACCCCCCCAATCCTTACCCGTAACATAAATGCTTGGACCAGAAAAATCAAAAATCGTCTCTTTTTTTTTTTTTTTTTTTTGGTTATAGTGACGTGGAGTACAATTACTTGTTTATTGCTTACTGCACATCTTATTATCAGTTGTAATAATCGTTTCAAATTTATTGTGGATTTTATCAACGCTTATTAATTAGCTTAATTTATTCAAAAGCCAGAATTAATAAGTCGCTGTGGTTTTCTAAAGAGGACTCGCCAAAAGTTATTCAAGCATAAGTAGTACTGTATTTTAAACTGGAATTTGGAGTTTAAACTTGGTACATAACTGCCTATCTTCTGCAAGTGGTGGCTAAGACGAGAGACTCGTTGAGAGTGAAGGAAGGAAAAAGTGGTGATTAATTATGTGAGACGCTTCTCCTAAAGTTAACAACCAATAATTGAAGCTACACTAGAAAATAATTTTAACTAGTGTTCAAAATTTATGCGGTCACGTCCTCTCAATTTATTTTGCATGCTTGTCTCTCGCAGCATAAGAGAGCAAACTAAGAATAGCATAATAATGCCTATTAGTTTGTAACATTTTGTAAACCAGGCAGATAATGAAAAGCGAATATATAGTTACTACAAATAACGTTTTTTTTTTTTACGCGATACATGTGAGATAAAAAGATGATTGAAAAACGCGTTGATTACATGTAAACAAATAAAATCATGCAAATAATAATTTAAAATCATAACTAATACTGCTATTAGCAATTAATCTCTATCGCGTATCGCGCTTCGCGCTGTCAAGTGGGAGGACTGCAGCGAGAACTTGGAGCGCCGACTTCCTCAATCATGCACTAAAATCATTATCCATCAAACGAACAAAACAAAATGTCACGACATTATCAATTAGTTAATACTTAAAACTAGCTTCTTGTTTATTATATATATATATATATATTTTTTTTTTTTTTTTTTTGGGGGGGTGGGGCGTGGTTGGTGGTGGGGGGCTGAGAATATTACTGTATCGCTAGCTTCAACATGTGGTTTTATGTAAAATTGCTTTCATCTCGTCGTATGCCGCAGTAAATTCTTCATCTCAGGATACTCCGAATTCTCTTGCAAGTCTTTTGAGTGAGGGCTGCACCCCACAGTAAATATCTTCGTAATGGGCTGCATGCCCTCCACCGCTCCACGCCACAGCACAGGGGAAAAAGAAAAAAAAAATTTCATTTTGAGAGTCAGACTCAAATCAAAGATGAACTTCCAAGTATGCACTTAATTTGCCTGAGGAGTTTAACTCTGGGAGAGCAAGTGATCGGCCGTGAACAACTTTTACTGTTAATGTAATTGGATGAAATATGATGGTTGCACGTTGAAATCACATTTAGAAATTCAAGATTCACTAATTAAGTTTATAAATTTTTTTTTTTAAGAAAAATGCTTGATGAGTTCATCACATTGGTCACTCGCAACATAGATAGAGAAAGAAAGAACAAACAAACATTTTGAATTTAAAGGAGTTTCAACACTTTACCAAACCTACATCTACTCCTAACTACTATTCCACAGTACCCCGAACGATTGCAACAACAAAAAAAAATTAGTGCCTTGAGAAAATGCATGCAGGAAATTTGTGCTAGCAACCAATAAAAAAATGAAATGCGCCTGTTGGAATCAAGAAGCATGGCAAAACTCATGCCTCGAATTTGATTCTTTTTTTTTTTTTTTTTCTCTCCAGCTACGTATATCTCATGCGCGCCTGAGATGTCCAATCTTTAATTATGCAGTTGCACAAGACTGATTGCCAATGCCCATTACTCTATGGTCAAACGGAATGGACTTTGATAGATTCTCGTATGGATCTTTAAACGTCCCTTCCCCCTTCGGCCCTTCCCCTCTTCTCCCCCAAACAAAAAAAAACATATATATATATATATATATAGAGAGAGAGAGAGAGTGTGTGTGTGAATTGAAAGAAAAAGAATCCCATTTTGCGAATCAATAATGTCTATGAAAAGGGTCCTGTCCTGAGGACCTGAGTGCCAATTCGTTCCACTTCTTTTCAAGTAAAGCTCTGTGGCATTCAAACTCTGTCACCAGCTGAGTATTCAACGTTGTTGTGTCTTGTGTGAGAAAAACTCCTTTCACATCTTCATTTTTGCACGGTTTTTTCTTAGATATTACTTACTATAGTAGACATTTTTTCGCTCTTCCCCACCCCCCACAACAGCTTTTGTTAGTATTGCCTTTTTTTTTTTTCTTTTCAATAACTTAACAGTAATCATCAGCTAACGAGCTTCCAGATAGGCGTCCGCATGAAGCTCCTACTAATCACATCCAAAGAACGACACATGCAATACAAATGAGAAAACGACTTGCACTAATATAAATTATAAGATAGAAGCTTGGCGTCATTAGCAATTTCGGTTTATGGCAAATGGACAAATGCAAATAACAAAATCCGCATATTACAGCTTATTATGCTAACACTAAGGCTCAGGGACTTTTGTATTATTGTATGCATTGCATTGGTACCATAACCAAAAGTGGCGGTCACTATATACACTACAGCCTGGTACAAATCACAGGTCTCTATATATTGGCTAATTCCTTAGAAGAAGAGAATTTCCATCCACGGTCAGTTCACTTGATTTGGCCGGCTAAAACCGAATTAAGATGAAGCTAGCTCATAATCTAATATAAGGTTATAATTATTTTTCGATTAATCTTTTCTTGTTTTCAAATGAAATGACAAGAAGAATACTTTAGACTTGATATGCTACAGGCTTGGGGTTTGGACTTTCTGAGGTACGGTCTTTTTCTTTTCTTTTCTTTTCTTTTTTTACAATAAAAAGAACATTTTTATAATCTAATCTATCATTCTAATTTAGGAGGAAAATGAGCCTGTAAAGAGACTGCAGTGCATAAGGGGCTAATAGATATAGCTGCAACGCGCAAGAAACAGGGAAAAGAGAGGGGGGATTCCAAAAGGAAGGGGACAAGAGGAACAGGGATCGAGACAGATTATAATGGAAATTAAGGTCCGTTCATTGAAAGGCTAAATCGTGTCTTCTGGCGGTGGAGGAGCTTCGGACTTGGCGTTTTTAGGCGAGTCCCGAGTCTTTGCTTTTACTAAGTTTAGAGTATCAAACCTCGGGGAATCTCTCTAATTAACCACTCCCTTCTCCCCCTTAATGACTACTATCAACTGTTAATAAATCTTTTAGCCTTTCCATGGCTGTCTGTCCCCCTCAATTCCGCCCCCGCCCCACCCCACACACACACACACACACACAGACAAAAGAAAAAAAAAAATGAAACCATCCAAATTCGCCCAAATTCATATTGATTTTATCTGGTGAAAGTAGTAATCCTTCTGTCACATATTTAATGTGTATTGTTACCAGAAAATATGCTAGTAGTAATTCATTAGTTAATCGTTTTAGTTGGGGGAATAAATACAATAATATCGAGTCAAATATTATAATATTGACTAAGCTGACACTGCATTGAAAAACTAGAGTTTCAAGAATAATTCGGTAATATAAATTATCTAGTTTGAATGGACCATCTAGTAGTAGTATTAATGAGGAAAATAGTGAATAAAAATAATTGATTTAAAATCCTGATACTATAACTAACACTCTACTAGTTCATAACATGCGTGAAATAAGAAATAGAGCTAGCCGTCGTCAGAAATCTCGTTAAGACATCAATTAATGCGTGCTTGGATTAGCTTGCTTAATAACAACATTATTGATCATCCCTTTCATTATTTTCCATTAAAAAAAAAACAGAAAAGAAATTCTCTCAACCCAGTCCCCCAGCAGCACATAGATAGATACGTTAGATTTGAAAAAAGAGAAGAAAAGCTTTGGGCCCCAAGGCCTCATGCATGAGCTGGCACTGGGAAAGGGACAGTAGCTTGGAAGTCATTAAATGGCACAAGG